CAAATGATTGGCATAGGAGAACCATATAATCAATAGTCAATTATATTATTCTTTTTTTATCTTTAAAAACATTTATGCATATCCAACATCAATCTTTAGTAATGGATTCACAATTGGTAAAATCATATGACTTCAAATATCACAACTTAATAACAAAAAGAAGGCACTTTTAAGTTTACCATATCTAGTTGCCATCTCTTTGAAAGACATAAAAGTTGGATAAACTATGAAGTTCATATTCTGAAAACATCAAAATAATAAAAATAATAATAATGAAAAATACTAATCCACATAGAACTTTTAAAAAGACTTTTCAACTATTGAAAATGTTTAGAAAGACACAAGAATAATAGTAAGTAATACACACACATAAGAGTAGTAGTAAGTCATATATACAAGAGGGTTTCTAATAAGAGAGAGTTTCACACATAAAAATCTATTGATCTTGTTGTGTCTCGTATACAAGAAGACAAAGGGGAGAGGATAAACAATACTTCTCCACTAGACTCTAAATATTGTAGCTATCGTATTTACTATAGTCTACAATAAATATTATGGAGAGTGCTGACTACATTTAATGATCTCAACACTCCTCCTCGCTCATCATAATATTTACATAATATAAAATTTGTATAGAATTATGATCTATACTTTTTTGTGATCTTGCAAGATCAACAATTGTTGCGTCATTAAAACCTTATCTAGGAAAACCTTATTGTATTTAAGGACAAAACCATAGATGAAGGAAAAAGAGTATAACATCATTTTTTTTAATTATTTAAAGAGCTCATTAACTTTCTTATTCAAGAAAAATAAGTTGCCGCATACCAATGCCATAAGTAAGTCGATGATGGTTATACAATGGAAGAGCTTTGGTAAAGAGATCAGCAAGGTTATTTGTAGATTCAATTTTTTTAATTAAAAGTGCTTGATTAGTAATCAAGTCATAGGTATAACTAAAATACTTTGAATTAATATGCTTTGTCCTATCGCCTTTAATGAAACCAACTTGCATTTGTGCAATACAAGCACTATTGTATTCATACAAGATAATTGAAGAATCATCATATGAAAATCCGTAGGTTGTTTGAATAAATTTATTAATTAATCACAACCTAATATATTCTCAAGATGCTTCATGTAAAGCAATAATTTCTACATGGTTAGATGAAGTTGCAGTTATTGTTTGTTTCATTGATTTTCCATAATATTGTAGCTTCATGTCTTAAAAATACATATCATGTTTGAGATTTAGCTATTGCAGTATCAGATTTATATCTTGTATCACAATATCCAACCAATTTTGAATCTGTAGATTGTATGTAGTATAATCCCAAGTCTTCAGTACCTTTTAAATAACGTAATAAATATTTGATGCCATTCGAATGTCGTAGTGTTGGAGGTGCAATATGTCTTACAAGAACTCTAATTGCAAATGTAATATTTGATCTTGTAGATGTAGCTAAATATAAAAGTGCTCCAATCGTTGCGAGGTATGGATATTAATCTCTCAATATTTCCTCTTCCTCCTTGCATAGACTGTATGGATCATGACCATTACGACCACATCCAACCATTGGTGTGGAAAATGGATAAACATCAATCATATCAAATCTTTGCAAGATTCATCTAATATACGTTAGTTGGTAGAGAAAAATGCTACCATCTATTAGATGTATAATTTGAAGACTAATACAGAAAGTTGTTTTTCCTAGCATTTTCATCTCAAATTCACGTGTAAGTAGGTTAGTAGCTGTAACACATGCAGATGAAGTCCCCACTAAATTAAGATCATCAATATATAGAGTGATGATTATAAAACCAGTTTTATCTCGTTTGATAAACAAACAAGCAATTAGTGGATCACTTACAAATTTATTTGTAACTAAATAACCTCGAAGATGTTGATACCACATGTGTCCAGATTGTTTTAAACTATACAAGGCCTTACATAATTTAATACCACAATATTGTCCTGGAGCAAGTCCATTTGGAGTTCCTGTTTTTAAGCTAAGTAGAACTTTCATATAAATATTTGCATCAAGAGAACCATATAGATATGTAATTACTACATCCATCAAATGCATCTCAAGGGTGGCATGAAGTGTCATTCGAATAATATATCGAAATATAATTAAATCCATGATTGAAAAATATGTGGATTCATAATCAATGCCAAATCGTTGTATAAATCCTTGAGCAATAAGACGAGTTTTATAGCGGGTTATTTCACCTTGAGCATCTCGCTTATATATTAATACCATCTTATATTCTACAAGGCGAGATGTAAGAGTGTCTACAATTAGACCAAAGACTTTTCTCTTACGCTGTCGTATTACGTGCTTTCCTGCTCGAGAACGTGCCGGGCATCTCGCTGTAGAAGGTAGTATGGAGATTCGCTAATATTCAAGCAGTTTATCGGTTTTTTGACTCTTGAAATATAAACAACTACAAGAATATACCGTAAATCTATACAAATGTCATTCGACTGCTTGTCGAAATCTTTTTTGCCCCAGCCGGTAGGTCTCTAGACGTTACAAAGAACCCCGAACAACCCGATCTGCTAATCTCCGATACCGCTTTATACTCACGACTTTGTATCCACTGACTGTCTTGTTAGATTAATCCAATAAATTTCATTCACTCTGCATACTCAATCCTATAGACACCCTTTTAATTCTTCATCACAGATGTAACTCGATTTCACAAAACAGTCAAGAGTAATCACACCCACTTCATTAAAATCCCGATTCACCAGTACAACACTGACTTCAGCAACGATTGCCTTAGTCTTCCCAAAACCCTATGAAGAAAAAAAACCCAATTCTCTGTCTTTTTTCTCTGCCCCGAAGCATGAAGAAGCTCCCCGACCCTTCTAAAAAACTTATTCTCTCTCCCATCATTTCTTAACCTATCCTCTCCTTTAACCCTAATTCTCCCCTCTTTCAAATCCTAGCCTCTGAATTTCTTCAATCTTCCGTCTTGGATCCGGAATTGACTCCGCCGTCAGAGCTTTCTCCTCCATTTTTACCTTTAAGAGATCTTTTTATCGAAAGGACGTTCCCGGAATGGCACAAAGAATGGAACAGCCTGAAACGGAATCGGAGCCCCGTAATCGGGACTACATTGAGTCGCCCGACCAATTCAGGTCTCATATTGGCTAAGAGGCCAGTAGTAAGACCTGGATGTCCTCGTAATTGGACTGCATTAGTTTGCCCGACCAAGTCAGGTCTCATATTGGGTAAGAGGACCTAGATTGGATGTCTTGAAATTGGATCCAATTGGCTCTTCGAACCAGGCTCACCCGTCGTTGAATTGGTCCTTTCTTTTTCTGCTAACTCCCGTTATTGGAATCGAACGGAGCATTTCAGTATGCCCCGGCCGATTATAACGGGGTGACTGAACTTGGCCTCTCAGTATTTGCAATGGAATTGGCCATTGCTCCCAATATTCGAGGTAATTGAATATTAATAAAAGTCTCCCTTCTTTATATTTTCATGGTATACTCGTGTTACAACACGACAACGCAAAGAGGCATACTCTTCTTTAATAGCAGTTTTCCATTTTGACTAATCAGAGCGACGCATCGCCTCCTTAATGGTTTGAGGTTCAGGATTGTCTTCTTCTCAAGAAAAGGCTTCTATAATCACATATGCAAATGATTCATCTACCATATTAGATGGTCTGTCCCAATTATTATCTATAGCACAATATAAAATAGATAATTCTTTACTCAACTTATTCTTATTCCTTCCAATTCCAAGATTATTTTTCATAGGAATTGAAGGTACATTATGCATGGATATATCATCATGAATTGGTAGTCTCATAGGATGAGTGGCAATTTCTTGAGAAATAATACCAAGATTAGTCAAATTTATAGCTTTCTTCTTACGTGGTTGCTTATCAAGTCCACGAGTTCTTTTAGTTGTTGTTGTTATAACTTGAAGTATTGTAATCAATCGCACTAAAATCTGAGCAAGTGCATTCTGAGCCTCATTAATAGGAACTCTTGTAATTCTAGGTTCATCATTGAAGCCATTAGGTGTTTCATCTGCGATCCGTTTTAGATGCAAAATCTTAGCAACTTCAATTTCTGCCAAAGATGTCTTAGGATTGGAATTCATTGTAAACGTTTCTGGTGCTCCAAATACGAGTATTTTATTTCTTTGTTGATTGGATACTCTTCCTTGAAGACGGGAATTTTGCAAACGTGCATGTAATAATGTACTAGCTGATAGATCAATAATACAAATAATGCTTGGTGAATCAAAACCAACATATATGCCTTCTTGTCGATGAGCTCCAATGATATGTCATTGAGGTTTTGGTACTAGAATCCAAGCATGACAACCAAATACTCGTAAGTGAGATATATTTGGAACATGACTTGAAATAAGCTCATGTGGTGAAAGAATTTCAAGCGAAGAAAGGCAAAGGCATCGGGCGGTAGCGGTAGCAATAGCAGCAGTAGGGTAGGCGGCAGTAGCAGCGGCGGGTTCAACGGTAGTTTGATGGCAATTTGGGGGTAGCTCGATGGCAGTTTGGCAACAAGCACTGGGCGCAATAGGGAGCAAGCTGGGGTAGAGCTGGGCTGGATCAAGTATTCTAAACAAGTATTCTAAGCAAGCAAAGTATAGAGTAGAACAAGTGCTCTAAGCAAGCAGCTAATGTGTGAAGGGCCAGCAAGAAGAACAGCAAGATCATGAGACAGATACTAAGCAAGAGTTACAACAAGTTTGAAGAATCAAGACTAGAGCAAAAAAAATTGTGATGGTATGTAGAAGAGAGTCGTGCTGATAACGTGTTGAGAATGTTTAGAAAGACACAAGAATAATAATAAGTAATATACACACACAAGAGTAGTAGTAAGTCATACATATAAGAAGGTTTCTAAGGAGAGAGGGCTTCACACATCAAAATCTATTGATCTGGTTGTCTCATATACAAGAAGAGAAAGGGGAGAGGATAAACAATACTTCTCCACTAGACTCTAAATATTGTAGCTATGATATTTACTGTAGTCTACAGTAAATATTATGGAAAAGAGCGCAGCTTACATTTAATGATCTCAACATCAACAATGTTTTTTTCTCCACTGAAGCAATTGATGTTACCAATCTCGGGCACAAGTTTCAAGGACACAGACCCCTCAAGTTGATGAGAGACCACACATGAGAACCACCACATGTACACCGATCTAGTCACAGCAAAGCATCTTCCTACTGCACTCTCCTTCAACGTCCAAAAGCATCCACCCAGAATGATCTGGCTCTCTACCAGTCCAAGTGCCACCTTCGAAATGCTTCACTTATCCACAGATTTGCATGATGAGTCTCCGTACTTATCTTCCTTCGAATTCTTATAATTCTGCAATGAGAATGATGTTACAGCTTAACTCAGAAGCACACCAGCCGTGACAATCACCGCAGCTCCTCGCAACAAAACGCATTTAGCATCATTATCCACAGACAATTCCAACACACCGCCTCGCTGTGATGCTTGATAGGCCAACAACTTCTGCTTCCCAAGCTTGGCAGCCCACAAGGGTGCAAGTGAGCAATGTGCGGTTCCACAGACAGGATCCTCGGGGATGCCGAATTGGGGGGCAAAGTAGCGGGAGACGAAGTCGAAAGGGGACCCAGAAGAGCCTTTTCCTGTGACAATCAACCCTCCTCGAAATCTGCATGCGTTTATTTCTTCAAAACATGGCTTCAGTGTCTCTACTTCTGTCGCACTTGGAAGCTCTAGGATTACTCTGTCCCAAGCTGACTTGTGAGAGGACATGACCTGGCATCTTTGCAGTGTCTGAGGAAAGATGGAGTCCATGTCAATTGAAATTGGTGTGGCGTCCATGAATGGTAAGCAAAGCTCAACCTGATCCTGCCACTCGTTGTTGCCATCGCTGCCCATGACCATGTTCACCTTCAGCGTGGCTTTGAGTGTGTGAAAGAAGACGTGGGGACCTGGAGCTAATCCTGATTTGAACATTAGGTAGGCGGATGCGAGGGTCGCGTGGCCGCAGAGGTCAACCTCTGCCGTGGGGGTGAAAAACCGCACGTCAAATTCGCTTGCCTTCTCTTCTGCTACATCAATCAGTGTCGGAATGCAAATGGAAGATCCGATTAGAGACGGTGCTTCATTGGTGGGTTTGCTATGATATCTCAAAAATCAATTCTCAGAAAGGTAATTCAGAGCTACCAACATAGACTGCACTGTTGGAAACACGAACGACCTCTGCCTACTGGCTGACGAGGAACTCTAAACTAGGGATGGCAAATTTGGCGAAGATGATTTACGATTACGAAAGAGTTCACCACTGCACTTCAGCTTGCACCTCAATTGCCCAGGCTAAGGACTTCCTGGCGCATGTTCTCCCCAGGTTATCCCCTAATTTGCCAGAAGGCATCTGCAGGCTAATGTTTCTGTCAAACAAATCACACTACTTAGCAGACAATTGGAATGCCTCAGGGGAGACAACTCACAATTCGTGTGCGGATTGCTCATTTCGCCAACAAAGGAGTTGACATCCATCACAACTTGCCCATTGCCCGCTGTATCCTTCGTTTTCGACCGTTTAACCAGGAAAGCCGTCATGGGAGCACTGAACTCCGCAGCAACGATTTGCATCCACTCCACACTTCTTGCGATCGGCAGCAGGCATACAGCAGCCGGGTTCCCTCTGAAAGCTTCCGACGTGAAGGCATCCAGCTGGGCGTAGTCCACAAAACTCGTACACGCCTCCTCCCCATGGTACGAGCGAAGAGCTTGCGACAAAGGGAACAAGCACGCCGCCATAGCTGGTCACCTGTCCAGAACCTTCACCGCACGACTCCGATCTGACATCAAACAGCCCATGCAACAAGCCGAAATTCTCTCACCACATGCCTAAAACAGCTCAACCGCACAAACCCCACCTCAACAAAACCTCAACTCCATTGCAAAATGCAGGAACGCCACCCCACACGTCGAAACCAGCGCTAAATCCACGAGAACGATCCATCCAGTTCCGAGACAACAACAACAACAATAGAACGAGTGCCGAAGAGATTACCTGTAATCAGAACAACAACAACAACACCCAACTCGAGTAAGATACTATCCCATCGGTTTATGCAATTCTGCTCCTCCAATCCCATCGGTTTACGTATGTCGTGAGGACCAGGAACGACTCCATAGACATACGTCGAAGCTTCTTCACCGAGCAACGCGCGTTGGTGGCAAACCCACAAAACCCAACACGAGCTTCGAAATACTTTGCCAAAGTGGGTTCATGGGGTCACACATACAACTGAGCTTATTGATTGATTATTATTAAGAAATTGTGGGTTCATTTTTGTTGTTCATATTCGATAGGTTCTTGTTTCAAAACTAGTTTTTTGTGTACATTGTTTGAAAGAGATCGAGGCATGAGACCCAAACCATATGTCGCTGTGGATGTTGGAACAACATTCTTGTTCATTTGTCCACATTTCTTGCAAAATTTTGTCTTTTTGTCTTTTTGTCTTTTTCTTTTTTGTGATCTAATGAATTGTAACATTTTAGGGAAACATTTTATTTCTGAGAAAAATGATAATATTTATTTCCTGTTTTTATAATTAATTAAACATTACAAAGCATTAGAAAATTAACATTGAGAGTCATTAATTATTTTTTTGCATTAATAAAATTATTTTTCTCAACCTTATAAAATGCATCAGTTGTTGTGCATTTTCTTTAAAGGATGATTGCAGTATTAAAAATATAAATGAGAATTGACTTTTATACTTGAGATTTGTAGTATGTTGAAAGAGGATAAAATAAGGAATTAAAACTTGTTATAATACAAGTTTAACCTTACTTTAAAGTATTGAAAAGAAATCATGGATTATTTAAGTTGATTGTAGCAATATTTTGCTACTAAGAATATATTTACAAATAAATAATATTAGTAAAAATTCATGTATAGTCTTAACTCAATATATGTATAGAATAGCTCTAAAAAAAATACTAAATAACATTTTGAATAAAAGTAGGCAATCTTATAAATAAAATGTAGATTTCTTTTAAAATTTTGGGAGAAAGATATATGATAAGAATATTATTTGATAATATTTTATACATCACTATAAATGTTTGGTTATGTGCAAAAGAAACAAGTAACGGTAGCAAGATCAAAATTGTATTAGTATACAATATAACAGTTTGATTTTTGATTTTTTAAAATAAAGCACTTTAAATCGCAAAGCCAACTCTCTTCAACAAAAGAATACAAATAACTAGTATAATATTATTTTTGCATGTATATACTATTTGCAAGGTTAAAAGCTTGATGTCTATTATTATAAGGAATATTGTAAAAATAAATAAAAAAAAAAAACCTTGGTAATTGTAATTTCATGTATTCTTTTAACCAATTTCGTAGATTTATTTATACAAAACTGTTTTGTAGTTTAATAAATATGCAAACTAACATGTTTGAGATAAGAGACTATCAATAGATACAGACCAGACCTATAAAAACAGTGTAATGGTTTTTGTTAGCATGATTTGTTGTATTTCTAATTAGTTTTTGTGACCTTAATATGAATTTTAGAACCAACTAGAAAGGATTCTATGTGATTATTAAATAAATGACATTTCTTTTGACGAAATCCAAATTAAAATTACTTAATTAGATTATTATAATATTTTCAATACATGAAGATGAATTGACCTACTTGACAGGAAAGCATTTAATTTCATGTATGAATGATTCTCCAAGTCACTTGTCTTAATGCGTTGATCTAGCTAGGTTACAATCACTACTAATTTGATCTTATTTATTTCCCTATTGAAGTGTTGGAAACATAAAACATTCAAGTTTACACCGATGGCCTACGACGTTCAGTGGTCTTTGGCACCAAAACTGTTGTTACTCATACTAGGTGGTGCCACTCTCGGAAGAACAATGATGGTTGAAATTTTGATGTCATTTCAAGTGAGGTTTGCAGGCCTCGTGCACAATCCCACAGAATGGATCGACATGAATGGTCTCCATCACATAGAAAGTTGTAATTTAAAGACTTAAGTTTCAGAGCTTCCTCGACCGCATATGGAGGTGGGGGTCCCACACAACTCAATTTTTAATAAATTGCGCAGAGGAAACAAGTCAAAATTGGGAGGTGTACACGCAGAAAACGTCTCATCTCAGTTCTAAGAGTCTCACGCTTCTCAGATCAATTTTGGATCCTTAGAAATAATATTAGTGAATTCAGCTGCACGGCTGTCATGAGAGGACTTTTACTATACACGAGCTACCACCCAAACATTGCTAACGATGGCTCATGAGCTCCCATTCACTCGTCATCGGAGTCTCCAAATGTGATCTTCTTCGCTTTTCCAGAATCTGCGCCAATTTCTTTGAAATGGGCACCATAGAGCTTGGATTCTTTCTTCTTCACATGAGTGCCGAACTTGAGAAGTTCCTCTGGGACTGTTTGACCTGCTTCCCTGAGCACATTCACGAGCTCACCAGCTCTGGCCCGGTCAGCTTGCGTGAAAAATGTATGCGAAAGACCTTTCTTCCCAGCCCTACCTGTTCTTCCAATTCGATGTACATAATCTTCTGTAGTAAGTGGGAAGCTGTAGTTGATGACATATTCAACATCAGGTATGTCAAGTCCTCTAGCAGCGACATCGGTGGCAATCAAGAGAGGCCGCGTCCCATCCTTGAAGGAATTTACAGCTCTCGTGCGATCTGATTGGCCTTTGTCTCCGTGAACCGCAGAGACTTTCCAGCCCCGCCTTTGAAGAGCAGTCTCCACACGTACTGCCTCCTTCTTGTACAATACGAACACTAACACTCGGTTCGTGCGGGACTTGTGATATTTTTGAAGCAACGTTTCCAGTCGGGCATCTCGAGCTCTGTCTTCGATCACTTCCACAATCTGAGTCACGTCATGATTGGCTGCCAAGTCCTGTGATCCTACCATAACCTTCACAGGGTCTTTCTCATTCATGAACTCCATAGCTAACTTGGACACCGCCATTGGCCAGGTCGCGCTGAACATGACCGTCTGCCTAACTTGGCAGCATGTGCTCAAAATTGCTCGAATCGCAGGTTCAAACCCTAAATCCAACATCCTGTCGGCCTCGTCCAAAACGACATACGTAACCTGGTCTAAAGAGCACACACCCTCCTCCATCAAATCCTGCAGCCTTCCTGGAGTCGCCACCACAACCCTTGCCCCTGCCTTGAGGGCACTCCTTTGAGGACCTTTCGGTGTACCCCCATACACACACACAACTCCGACCCCACAGGCACTGCCCGACTCCTCCAGCACGTCTGCGATTTGCTGCGCAAGCTCCCGAGTGGGTGCGAGCACGAGGCAAACAGGGGCTGCCTTTTTCCCTTTCGTCTTCGTGATTTTGTCCAGCACGTGCTTCATTGCAGGAATTCCAAAAGCGAGTGTCTTACCTGAACCCGTCGCAGCAATACCAATCAAGTCTCGTCCGGCAAGCAAGAAGGGCCATGCATGACCCTGAATTGGCGACGGTTTCTCGAATCCTTGACAGCACTGCAGCACGGTGGGCGGCACGCCTTCCAGCTTGAAATTCTCTTGTTTCTTAAACTTAGGATTGTCACTTCCACTGCCCGTCACAACAACACTCAGCTTCTCATTTGCCACCACTTCTGCAGCTACCGCCGACGTCTTCGCCACGCTACCAACCTCACTCTTCTGTTTCTTCTTGCTCTTCTCTTCTGGAACTCCCTCCTCTGCCTCTACCGCAACGACCTCGCCCGCACCCTCAACCACTTTGTTCCTCTTTTTCTTTTTCTTCTTCTTCTCAACATCCACCTCCATCTCCACCACGGTAGCGACAGGCGCTGCTGCCTCTGCTGCAACCTCAGCGTCCTCCCGCTCCCGCTTCTTCTTCTCCTTCTTCTTCGCCTTCTTACCCTGCTGAGCAGGATTTGCCGCAACCATGTTGTCCAGCGCCACCATGGCAGCCTCCTTCCTTCTACGTGATCCCCTCCTTAAAACCAAATCGCAGCGAAACACACCGCGACTTAGCGGCAGAATTGGAGAGCAAACAGGAGGGAGAGGCGGCACACAACGCCGGCTACGCAACCCGAAAGACCAACATCAGAGCAGGGTCGGCGCCCTAGGCAAGTGAGCAGCACAACGTGACCTAAACCCATGCCCGCGTGCTCGCTCACGGGTTCACACTCCAGCGGTTTGCGGCATCCTCGTCGCAAGCCTTAAGTTCCGTTTCTTGGTGACTTCACACAAGCCCCAAACCCTAAAAATCTCTTCGCATCCGGTTTTAAGGGGATCCCACCGACATACGAGTGGGAAATCAGTGAAGCATCTGAGATTCTTGTCAAGGGACTGTGAAAAACACTTCAAGTAATGATACACATCATCAGTGCAAATAGACTTTTATCTGCCCTAATTACATATTTATATGCTCTCAAAACCCTGCCACTAACCATGGGGTCCATATACCCCGATTTTTTTCCCGGTCCTTGAAGCTTTCATGTGTAGAAAATCAAATATATCTCACGTCCAAACTTCAATCGGGAGTCAACTTCGTCACAAGTTAATGTCTATTTAAAAGTAAAAAAAGCATGACAAGCAACGATGTTGGGGATTTAATCCTAAATTATGCGCTACAGTCTTCGTCATGAAGAATATGTTTGAAATATGTAATTTTGAATTGACACACTTGAATGTGTGTGAATAATTCTTGATTTAACTAAATGTTAAGTACAAATTATTTTGTTACACAATATTATGCATGGTATGAATCATATTAAATAGTTGTTACTGCTATTGGATTTTGGGACAATTTCATCACCTACATTAAAAATATAATAGTTTTCTATTTTCTTGTACAGATCGTTCTAATGAATTTTGCAATGTTTCAAAATATCTATACCTCTTGTTTATCTCACTTCCAATTTGAGGCAAAGACACAAATTTTTTGGCATCAAAAATTACTACCACGTAAACATCCTCGTGAGAAACAGGAATTACAAAGTTGAGACTCATGGGTAAAAGGTGTAGAGTTTCTGGTCTCTTTGCCAGTCGATGTTGTCGTGATTCCATGGATACATGAATGCAGGAATTTTGAAGGCGTGGCAATATCTCGAGCTCTCATGAAAAGCAGGAATATAACACATGATGATACAATTTTTCAGAGTTTCTTTTCATTGCCATGGCAACATTGTCTGACGGTTTAACTAGAACACGTCACACATCTCTGCTCAAAAATGGCAACTAATGACTGGTTCAACAAATGTTCAAGGAATGGAGCACACACATGTTCCGTTGGAGAGCAAAACATGAACGTGAAGAACCTAGAAAATTTCCCAAGTGCTTTTAATTCGAGATGGGCTGCAAGTATTGCGCAAAATCCACTCTGGAGTCCTCCAAATCTGGAACAGGGTCATGGAAACATTTGCTTAGGAAAATCCTGAAGCACGACTAATAAAATACGAAACGAGAGCAAAGCCGATGTCTGGTTACTGTTGTTTGTCAAACGCTGAATCGATGTCCATAGTCCTCATCTTGGTTTGAGCCTCACCCTGTACATCACATGTAGACAATTATCAATTGATGGATTCTTGTGTCAAACCTTAAGCAATGGTTGCACGCAAACACTGACAATGACACAGCGACCAGTCAGGCTTACGGTGTGCGCAAATGATGTGACGAGGCCGCGTCTCGCTGTCGAATAATCTCCCTCCAAGTATCCCAGCTCTCTTCGACTTCGAAAATGTCACCTCCCGCTGAATCTTCATTGTCTTCACTGGCAATACTATCGAGCTCAACGAGATCACACCTGTTCCCAATACTGCTCTTCATGTGTGATGTTTGAGCTCGCTCCATACCACCAAAAGTCCCTCCTAGTTTCTGCACCTTCTCTTCCATGGGTGTTGTTTTTCTGGAGTTCGAGGCATTGATCTGGCTCCTTATCCTTGACGACGAATCAAGCTGGAAGTTGCTACTGGCATTGACAAAAGGTTTGATGTCTTCTGTAGTAAAAACAGCCTTGATCTGTGACACTGCGACATTGCTGACTCCTGGAGTAGGCTTCTTTTTCAATCTTGGACGTGTCTTTCTAGCAATCCGTTTTTGTTCCAAATACTCCGTTATGCCCACATCCTTCCGATGCGGAAGCGCAGGCTTATTTTCTTTAGTAGGTGAGTTTGCGCAAACATTTGTGATTGTTGTCATCTTTTGATGATGTGGATTGCGATTGTGATCGGTCAGAACCAAAGGAGCTACTCTATTTTCAGTTCTATTCCTTTTAGTGGAAGACTTGATGTTCTCCTTTCCACCCCTTTTGCTGGTTAATCCAAGTTCTTTTTGCTGAAAGCGGTCGACCTCATTCGGAAAATTTTCAACCCTCGCTGACGAATTGAACACTACGAGGGGGCCGATGCTGGCAGGAATTTCGGTTGGAATGTTCTCCTTGCTTTCAGACGATGTGGTGCAAATGTTGAAATTCTCGTTTGCACAACACCTCGCCGTTTTGGTTTCAGGCAACTCTGCTGGACGTTGCATCTGGCCCGCCTTCTCAACTCGCAGTGTTGTCTCATTACGGCATACATTGGACTTATCTGAAGAACGGACATCCAAGGGATTCTGGAGCGATACTGCGCCGCTCGGCAATGCGTCCGTAAAGGAAACAATTTTTTGAGTCTTTTGGAGAGAGGGACCCATGGTTGTAACCACGTGATCAACTTCTCTTTGAGAAATACTCCCTTTAGCATCTGTACAAGTACCTCCTGTAAACTGATCAGCAGCTATTCTCTCCTCCCCATGACTCTGTCTCCGTGCATTGGGCCGCGGCTGATTCAGAAAATATGCAAGACTAAGATCGTTTCTGGATGAAGTCGGCTTTAAGGAGTTGAGAGGCATCTTGGAAGAAGATTGTGTTCTCAGCTCCAAATCAGAGCTGAGATTCTTTGAGGAAGGCACGTTGGTCTCCTTAACCCTGGAGGACTTGATTCCATGTGCAGAATCGAACAGACGAACTTGACGGTTTTCTAGAGGGATGCGACTCCAATGAGTACATTTCTCAATCGTAACACTCGAGCGGTTGGATGAGTTTGAGATACCCCCAATTGGTATTTTGGCGCTTTGAGCATGGATTGACTGAAGTGTTAGGTCTTCACTCACAGACCCCGAGTTGTCCGAACAATCTCGAGTACGATGTCCTCTGTAATCCGAGTGGTTCCGCACTGCAAGATCCTGATTAGAAAAACTGAACCTCTGCTGTAATTGACGACTCTCCGGGCCATGGCGACTTTGAACTGCTTCAGGAGACGATGACTCTAAATAGTGTGACAGACTCAGGGTTGGCGATAAAGGTGTGCACACAGCGTCAATCTCATGAGGTCCCTCCAGAGCACTGATTGGACGCACATTGAAAACGTGAGAACGAGGTGAAGGTTGAACGTCGTGACGCATTTCCCCTGATGGCCATGCTGTAGAAGTTGTGCTTTTTAGATTGCGCTTCCAGCAAGCTTGCAGGAGATCTTTCTCGTCCTCTAGCCGGTCCACAATATTGGACCTGCACTGTCCCTGTTCACTATTCTCAAGACCACCATGAAATTTACTCGAAGTGGGTGAACTTGGACTCGAGGTTCTCGACAGATTCACAGGCTGAGTTCTCGAGTCTACGACAGAATTCTGTTGCTGCGCTGTGACAATAGCTGTCGAGGAATCGTTGGAGTTGAAAGCTAGTGGCCAGATCCGAGAAGGAGACGCGATTTCGAGAGGTTCCCAATCCAATAACTTCGTGTCATAGTCCTGTTCATCATTCAAGTAAAAACTTCCATCTGAATCAGACGAGGATGCACTGCCACTTCCTAAGCTCACTTTCTGACCGAGTAAACTGAGTGGAATAGATTTCTCCTGACTGCGAGTTCGAAATTTGGCGATGAGAGCATTCCTCTTCTCCATCTTTTTGTTTTCTTGTTTGAGATGGCGGCAGAGCATCGCCATCCTCGACGCGTGCCCATTACCAGCGACTGCACTCTTCTTCGATACATCGTTACCACCTAATACAGGTGTTGACTCCCGAACAATTTTGTTTTGCCAATTCACGAAGATAGACTTCTTCTTCCTTGAAATTTCATCATCCATCAAGTCTTCTCGTCGAAAGCTCCAGCCACTCACAGCCGTGCTGGAGGTCTGTTTCTTCTTGCCAAGGGGATCAAATACCTGGACGCTGAACCGAGAGAAGGAGGCGAGTGTAAAGATGAGCTTATCTCCAAGCTCCAGGTGATGATCGTGGGCAAATTCTTTCCATCCTCGTGAAAACCTCACCGTGGGCCTGCCTGTGGTGCTCCCACAGCTAACGCACAGGTTCACTGGCCACACTTGACCACTCGGTCCTTGTAGCAACACAAATTTCTGGAACATGTCACCGTAGTCCTTGAAGAAGAATGCTGGCAAATGCTGCGCACATTTGAAAGGCATGTCTGTAAGGAGTACAGCTTGACCTTCCTTCTACGACATCACTCAAACTGTGCAATCAAGCATCGGAAGAGTTCCTCACTTTCAAAAGCATTTCCAATTCGTGCAAACTAAAACGGATCAGACAAATTTGAGCCACATTGAAAGTTGGAGTTTAATAGTACCAACTCGCAGTTCTTCTTCCTGACGGTCGTGATTTTCACCGTCTTCACAAAGAACGGTGCTCGATGCTTACGGTTAGAACTATTTTTCTGTGCTCCCGCTTGAAGTGACTCGCGGGATCGTGAACTGCCTGAACCTGCACATACTTTGGAGCTGGCTTTCACAGCTCCATGTGAGGCATGCAATTTAAAGCATCTAGCAGTGCAGAACATGCAAGAGATGTAACCAGGGTATTCAGTGGCATCCACATCAACCGCAACCTCCATTCTGCTCTGCTCAACGGAGAGCTGTTTCAATACTCAGCACCTCAATGGACCAGGAGATGGAACTATGGACAATTACATATCGACATAACATGCTGCAATTCCTCATTGAACCAAAAGAATCAGCTACATGCCGATTTTTTAAAAATCGACACACACGCTAAAAGGGTGAGGATTGGTCACACCACAACGCGGTGTCCATCTAAACTACTCACACAGAAACCTCCCTCCACTCTGCATCTACGTCACTGGCTTAAGAGCGGATACTAAAAGTCATCATGGTCACTACAGCGCGCAAATTCAAGCTCAGACGACAGAATCGTCGTCTAGCAGCGGAGTAGGCTCGAATGTTTCCGGAAGCACCAGATCTACACGTTTTTCAATAACACGGCTAATTTTTCAGCTCGAAGAGAATGAATGATGCATCACCATTAAGTGCCGATCAGTCCTAATGCGTAACTCAAACTGTGATCAGTCTCCTAGAAAGAAGAGAAAACTAATCCCTCTTCGCACAAGAAAGACGGCAATACTTCGCTGTATATGTGAGATTGATTGATGAAAACCTGCATTGACATGCAAATACAATTTACGGAACATATATAGTCTGGACAAGTCTCATGAGCTTTCTGCGATGGAGGTCCTCCCCCAACAAACACAAACACACAAACACGACCCGTCTTTCCCAATTAGGGTTTGCTGGATTCGGATGGATGAGGCAAACTTCGACTGGATGAAGGATTTTTTCTTATTCATCCACACTTTATTAATTTTATTTACGATGGTGTATTATTGAAAAATAAACATGACATGAATATTTGAAATCAGGTCTACTTACGTTCTATGTGAAAAATTTAATTGACTTGAAGAATAAGTTTTTTTTGTAAGTTTTATTGCTTTTGAACTTTCTTTCTTCCTTTAAAAAATGCATACTTCATTAATTAAGTTACATTTTTTTTTTGAAGTTAATTGCTATCAAGAAACATATTTTTTAAAAACAGAACGTGTAATTTTTTTTACAATTAATATTGAAAAATATCTATGATAATATAACATTATAATATTTCTTTCACTAGAGAATCAAAATACCAAAAATACATATCTGTTTATACTAAAAAAATCTTAATCAATAACACAAACATAGAATTTTGATATTATTTGATGATGTGACACCAATAATATTTGAAACTATTAAAAATAAAAATTTTAGTATATATATTAGAAAATTTGTTCTTACGTATTTTTAACTTTTAATTGCAAGAGAATAAAACTTTATTAATTAACATATCAAATTACGGAGGATATTAAATTAACTCACCATGATGGTACTACAAACACTTGAAGGCTCAAACATCCAAGGCTCTTTTTAGCCAACATGAATAATATGTACAAAGTATTGATGATCTACCAATAGGAGGACATCTAAAGTCATTTGCTTAAATTAATAGATATGTCATTTAGACTAAAAAAAAACCCTCTGTTGTAAAGGAATTGTGGCTAACTTAGAAGAGCCTTGAGATGATTTCAAACTACAAAGTCAGGTGGTAGGTTGATTTAAGATTTAACTGAGTTGATTTAATATTCCTCTAAAATAATTTAGATTGAATAAATTTAAAGAACATATTATTGAAAAAAGTGTGAAGAAATAGTAATTATTTAATCTACCAATCAATTGAATATTCCTTGATAAAGGGATCTTAGTATATCCATAGGTAATAAACATTACATACTATTTGATAAAAATATATATTGACATAATTTATTATTAATCAAATTCAATCAAATTCAATCCACTTTACTCCCATTATTCAATATCTAATGATACTTCTCCAATTTGAGTATAAAAATGTTTTTAAACTCATTTATTTGATTCCACCTTGATCTCTTTTCGAATCTAAAGGTGTGATGACCATGTTTTTTAGTAGAAGGGAGGGGGTAGATGGTATTAAGTAAGGATGTGCCTCCAAAGTGTGTGTATTGCAATTGGGTCCCCAAAAGTGCTTCAAAATTTGAGCTAGCAAAAGTGACTCCAAATCCCTTCTTCCTAAAGAGGACCTTGAGCACATTTTTGCAGTTGTGTATTAAGTTCACAAGGTTTTTTATTCCAAAACTAGAGAAGCAATTGATTTATGGAAACAAAGTAGGTCAATTTAGGAATTAAGTGAATTAATCTAAAATTTCTCTAAATTATTTGTATAAACATTAAACATGACACAAGACCTTTAAGTTGCTTTATATTATATATATATATATATAGAGAGAGAGAGAGAGAGAGAGAGATTTTAAAAATTCATAAACAATATAAATTAACATACCACACATGCTAGTTTTTTAAAATAAAATATAGAAAAATTTAGTTGAATTCTTAAATAATCTCATTGAACTATATTTAATATAATATATTTTTAATTCAAATTTTGATATATATATATATATATATGTATATATTTATAAGCCTGAAAATATTCCTAATATCATGAATGTATGTATATTAAGCATTTAAATTCATTATTAGCACAAATCACATTTTTTATTTTACTTTGATAGTGTGAAAAATAATTTGAACTTCAAAAATTAGTATGTAAATACTTATTGATGCATCATATTCCCTGTTTTACATATATAAAAACTTCTTAGATACATGAATTTTGACAATGTGCTTAAACATTTCATAAATATCAAATTCAAAAAATACTTAATAGAAATATCAACAACCAGCTTGATTTATTACTTTTGATGTCAGGTTTACAATGAGTCAATCCTGCACATATATATATATATATATATATATATATATATATAGACTTATAAATTCAGATGCAACACCTAATTCAGGTGAAAATATATCCACAGTTGGTCATAAATAGAGAATGTTCCCAATCCCCTTTTGATTAGTATTGTTATAATGCTATAACCTAAAAATCAAAAACATGTAATGTGGTTAATGATCTCAAAGATAGTTGAGTCACAAGGTTACATCAAACATATTGTGGCTCAAGTTGATATTCGATATTTGGAGTTGTATATCTTTTCTGGGCATTATTCCAATCACATTGATAGTTATAAACAAATCCCAATTTAAATAAACTAGCAGTCGTGATACTACTGCAGTATAACAAGATGAAACACCATTTGCCGTCCTTCTTTTCAAAATCAGATTGGGTTACAATTATGAGCAATAACATTACAAAACTTGGTGTTTTCTTGAGCTCACTTCACATTTTCAATTAATCTAGAAATGCTTTTATACAACAATTCATTAGTTTGGATTATTACATGGATGAATGCTTGGTTACACTCTACTCTTGAGAAGCTACAAGAAGGGCGGTGGTGGTGGTGGGCGTGATGGTGGAGTAAGATGGGTGATGGCATGGGCGTGCGGCCCAAGGACTCAATTAATAAGTTAAATATTTTATACAAAAATTAAAAATTTCATAACTTGGTACAATGGTGGCTGCCTTTGTTCGGCAATCTCGCCACCATTCTTCTACGTCTCCTTCATCTTCATCATCTAAGTTATGTCCTTTTCCTGTTTTCTGTATCTTTGTTGTCCTTTTGTTACCCGATTGAGATTGAATAGAATCCTTTTATTGGCGGCGTGGGTCCCAAATCACTGACAATGCATCTATACATGGGAATAAATAGTCCAACATTAATTTTTCATCCACATTATTTATTCATCTTTTGCTGCAGCCAGTGTCCTATTTTTATATTTTTATATTTTTATTTTTCCATTCATACCCACTCTTGATGTTGTTTCAGGTCTCAACCAAAAATAATGTTGTGTCCTCATGCCTACACATGACAAATTAAAAATTAAAAATTAAAACTCAGTTAGAAGGAGGAAGTGTGTATGTTTGGGTGTATATACATTGTCTGAGATAAACAAACATGCATGTAAGAAAAAAGAGCAAGGGAAGGAGGGATGGATATGGAGGAAATAAAACTTTTAAATTGTGGGATGATTATTATGACTGCACTGAACAATGCATGTTGCACATGGGCGGTGCTAATTGCCCTTTATTATTATTATTATTATTAATTTATTGTTTACAATAATGGCTTGCTTGTGTATTTTAGTGGAGTTGTTTAAATTTTGACCTCCTTCTTGATTTGTTTTGTTTTGATGTGAATAGATATATTGAATAGATATATGGATGGCACCAAAATGGCAATTGGCAAGTGTTTATGAGTCTTGGGTGGTCTCCATTACACCGCCATCAAAAAACAGAAATAAACTGTTTTTAGGGTTTCATCCCCACAGTTAACAAAGGGCAGCTGATAAAGAGCCCCACCCACAATTATGTTTGTGTTTTTGTTTTTTACTTTTTAGGTCACTTCTCCTGCCTTCTTCTTATTTCCTTTTTGTCTTGAGCCCCACACTCACTATACTTGGACTGCCCGCCAACTTTTAATAGAAATATGGGGGGCCCATGAAGTAATGGATGTAGAGCCCCCCCTTTGGGCGAGAATTCCAAGATGCCCCAACTTTGTTTTTATAGAGAATTCATTCTTCCCAGTAAAGGAAAACATCAGCAAGGATGATACATTATTATTTTTGGTCATGAATTACATGTTTGTTAATGTTTTTAGTCTTGCTGTTGAAAACCCACATCTATAGAAAATTCTGTTTGTATGGACTTTAAATGGCATATGATTTGTCCACATGAAGGTAATGCTCATCTTGGGTTTGGATGCGAGCTTATGCCTCTTTCCCAGTAGATCTAATCCTTAAGATTTATCAGGAGTGCTGTAAGTTAATTTATTATTATTTTAGATCTTAGTAGTTGACAAGTTGTGAAAAACAATTTCAAAAGGATAGAAAAAACCTAAATGTGAGCTTGAAAACCTTCCTGTGGAGATCATCCTTTTGAAGCTTCTCAGAGTAGAGTTTGTAACTGGTTCACCAAAGTGATGCTCATTTGTCCTTTCAACTAGAGTTTCAATATTAGAAACAAACAAAAAAACCCTTAACAATCAAAATTTAAACAAGGGCTATTTAACCACTAGACTACATATTAAGGCTATTTTTTGTGGTTTTAGAATTAATAATCACAGTTGGAATCACAAGTATGGCATCAAAAGGGATTGAAAGCTTCAAATGAAGTTGCAGCACCAATTCTCTCAATCCTAAAATAACATTAGCTTGGAGAAAACAAAATAAAAATAAAAACCAAAAATCTCAAAAAACAACAAGACTATTCATGACACAAACAGAAACATTGATAAAAGAAGAAGAAAGGATGAACAAGAGTTGTAAAATACATTACATAGTCTGTAGCACAACACTTCATAAAAGTATTGATGTAAGTCTGAGCAATCATTGTTTGTAAATCTAACATGACTTGTATGTGCAAAACCAAACTTGTCTTTGCTATCACTGTGTGTTAAAAAATTCAATAAGTAACAAATTTCATAAACCATGTTTTGCCAAATTAATGTATTTCCTGCTTTGGCACAACACCCAATAGACTGTACTAATCCTGCTATCACAAAAATACAATTATGTCTTGCAAAGAGCTCCTTGTGTTTGCTGTAAAACAATATACTATCCATAATGGCTTAAGGATCTACTTGCAGGCAACAAACAAGGATATGGTGATTCATGACACAAAGCTCAATCTCAAGGGCTTCATTTACAGGTTGCTAGTTTATGGACATTAGTGTGCATAGGAGGAGAGGAGTTTATGAGAAAACATGTTAAAGAATGTAGAGAAGTTAAGTTTATTAGAAGAAATCTAAGAAAGATTGTAAAACAATGAATTGAAGTACATGCTTTGAAGCTATAATAAGCAAATGGCGTTTAAATTCATAAAATCATAAAATGTATTTGCTGTGTAGTGTATTTGGGGGGAGGGAGTTGTGCAAGTCCACTAGTTTTCAGAGGGGAGCTATTGCTTAAGCTACCACCTCATCTCCCAACTTGAATTATCCCACCTTCCTTATAATTGCTATTCTCTAATTAGTGTTTCATCTTATTTGGGTTGTCAAACAAATGTAATTTTACAAAACAAAAATTAGCCAAACTCTAAGAATTTAAATTGACAAAAGAAGTGAGCTTATGCAAGTTATTCCAACTAGCTTAATATATATATATATATATATATATATATATATTTTCAATTACCACATAAGCTTTGTAAGAAACCAATTGTTTCAATTAGCACAATATTAAACTACTCAAATATATTTTTTTTCTTCTTTTAAATACATTTTACTTGCCAAAAAAACATGCAGAAAAACTTCTAAAGTAGCATGCTCATTATATATTTTCATATTTTTATAACTTAGAGTCTTTTGATTTATTTCAAATTTAACAAACTTAACTTATTTTTCCATTTTTTCAATGCAAATAGTATATTGATATTGTATTTTTCTTTTCATGCAGACCTACAACCATCTAAACAATTAATCTCATGATTTATAATTTTTTTAATATTATAAATAGATAGATAATATCTTTTTTTAATATATATATATATATATTTAATTCTTACATAATATAATTACATCTTGCATCCTGATTTTAAAAATTAAAGCAGCAGCAAATTTTAATAAGCACAAAAAAAAAAATAAAAAAAAATAGAAGAAATGTTTTAAAACTATCAAATATATTTTTATTCTTATTGAAATTAAGGAAGTGTTTTTCTTACAAAAAACCAACAGTTATACTTTTAATAAGTTCATGAAATATATAATAAAAATAACTTATTACATTTCAATCAAGCATAATCTCTTGCCCAATTTTATATTGGTTGTAAGAATATATACCAAACGATATGCTTATAAAATATAGCTTCTACAAAAGCAAACCTAGAAGCATCCACATGATGTTCATCCACTAGTCACAAGATGTGACTTATCTTTCACGTTTTGGTTTAATTTTATTTTAGAGCGCTTGTGTTTGAATGTAGACAAATCAATCTCCATGTGTTTTTCTAGTTCTGTGTGCCCCAAAATATAAAAGCTTGGAATTAAGTAGTTACTACATGGATTATCAGTGTTGTGGACATGTCATATCATCAGTTTTGATGCCACATGTGTGACAATCACATGAACCATACTAAAAGTCATGTGAGACATGTATCTAAACAGATCCATCACAGCCAAAGTTTGTCATAAAATATGCTTGCTGCTTAACTACAGGCATTGAAGACATTGATTTTATCGAAACCTTCATTGTCTACCAATTGATTCGCCAAACCAAGCACATGGAACGACAGCATACGCTTTTCTTCATGCCCTGTAAAGGAATGAATTTAAAATGGACTTAAAATGAATTTCCTACAGCAGGCATATTCCATGACTTATGTATGATACAAAACTGAGGTGATTTTTAAGAGCCTCAATAAATCTCACAAGTGAGGGACCCTTGGGGGATACTCATTTGCAGAATTAGGTTGTCGTCGTCATCTGCAACCATTATCTGCTTTAGGAACCATTATCTGCTTTCTGAAGCTTCGATAAATCAGGAACCCAGAAGGACAATGCAACTGATGCAGTAGCAAACATAAACCGGCGAGGCGCCCACTTCACACATGCAGGCACCCCTGCGTTGTTCGTCCAGCATGCAACCTGGCAAGCCATGACGAAACGTAACTCCAAATTCAGCAAAGATACGTTATGGTGGTTTATTAAGTTGATCCAAAGTTGGTTGATTCACGTCCTAGGGAACAAAATAAAGTTGAGATATTAATGAGGCTTTCAAGCAACTAAGTGCTCTGTTTACAGTACCCGTGAAACATTCATACTATCGTTTGATACTCTGCTACGCAACTGGGTTCAGAGATATTAAAGAATGCGGACAATGCAAACACAAAGAATACAACTCTGTGAAGAAGGTAACTACCTCAGCACCCGACACCGTGTTCCATGCTCGCAAAGAGCCATCACCCGACCCTGCAGCAATCCGGTTCGTAAATCAATATGCAAGGGATCAAGGTACATCATTGCCTCCACAGGAATGGCACTTTCATGCATTTTGATAAATTTGAGACACGAGTGTGCATTAGCGAAAATTATTAGACGTGGAGTACATGTACATGGACAAACGAACAACATAATTTCTAGTGATTGTATAAAGTACTGCGAGCCAGTGAATGCAGGTGTATCCTCCTTGCAATAAATCGGCCAAATAAACGTCAAAGACAACATTTGGGAAGGCACGAAGATAGTAAAACCCTAGTAAGACCTATTCAAAGCGAATGGAAGCATACCTGCAATAACAAATTGCGAATCTGGACTGAAGGAAGCCTCCAGTACCGCACCGTCAGGGTTGGGTTCAACAGTGAAAGCATGAACCTGCCATTGTACCAATTATACCAACATCCTCAGACTCCAGAAGCTACAAGCTTCAAATCCAATTTATTCAAAGAGACCAGGATCAGATTGCATACCTTCCGTCCAGTGTAGGCATCTAAAACATAGATATGACCGTTGGATGTTGACAGTAGCATAAGCTTGCCATCATAGCTGAATTTCATACCAGACACTTCAACTGTATCACCCCCTACCAAGAATGTATCAAAAGGTCCCTGTTTAAGAAATGCATGTAACTATTAAACATCCCTTCACTTAATGCACATTACAACCAAAAAAGCAGAAAAGAATTAGAACAACGAACGGGACTCTAGGAACAAATAAAACATATGTATTGAAAGTGTGAAGTATGTAAGCATAATTCTGGACATTAACTAAATTACTAACCTTGTCATAAGAGCGTACGTCAAATAGTTTGATAGCTCCATTTTCCATAGCTACAGAAAATACAAGGCCCTGTTGATCATACGCAACAGCGGGTCTACCCCTCACACGCAAAAGTCCCTAAACAGCAGTATTGCGATCAGTGCACAAAAACGACTGGACGAAGATAACTTGGGTTTAAGCGACATTAAAATCGGAAGCCTCAGCTCCATTCAAAAACTTAGCAAACGCAGAGCCTACGTAATCACCTGGATTTTTAGTAGCAAGGAAGGGCATTTCCTTACATGGTTCATAATGACCAAATTCAAGAAATGCTATGTTCAAGGAAAAACCCAACACCCTCCGCGCAATTAGGTGTATGACCAATAAATAAATAACAGATGCAGTAGCAACAAGCTAGCTGTTTTCGAAGAGAAGCAACGCATAAGATGAGGTTGAGAAAGAACCAAATACCTGACACACATTCGTGCGCAGATCCCACAGGCGTACAGTGTGATCCAGTGCACCAGACATGAAACAGTCATTCTTGGGAGACATGCATAGTGAGACCACCCTGCACAACATCAAATCTTTCTAAGTCCCAGCGTCTCAACAATGGAAACGGCCAAAGCAATAACACTGTCTATCCATATTTCCAAGAAAGCAGCTCACTTAAGTACTAAAACATGAGGGGACTGCTCTTGAAACAAAGGGCGGTATGTGGCACAAAAGCAAGTTCATCAGATTGAGATTGTGACCTGTCACGGTGCCCTTTGAAGTAGCGCAAATATCGATTGTCAAACAATGATAAATATCGCAGCGACTCTGCAAAATACCCCGATAAAATCATTATCGCAAAGACCTGTCTCGGAAGTTGATAGTTGTGATCACAATTAACATTCAAGTAATGAAAATGAGAGAACTTATGATGTCCTTACCATCCCATCCGTTCTTTGAAGAGTAAACTACTGAGCTGGTGTGGTGGGTGAAGCAAATCTGGTCTACCCCATACTTCTTGCTATGTATTGTTTTCAGCAATCTGCTTAAGTAATAGACATGAACAGACACGTAATGTAAAATGCATAAGTTACCGATGACATCCTCTAGGAATCATAATATATCTAAAGAGGTATATAAATATGTATGCTGCACAACATCACTGGTTTCAGTAAAAACATTCACAGAAACATCTGCAGGTAGTGTGAGATAGAATGCAAGCCGTGCTTGAAGTGTCTTATCATAAAAAGTAGAATAATATCATGGTATTCCAATCAACTGTAAGAGAAGTGACTCACGTGGCATTAGCGGTATCGTAGAGGCGTATAGATTCGTCGTCAGAGGCAGTTACAAGGAGGTCGTCAGCGCGATGAAAATCAAGTGAATTGACCCTCCCACCCTGTACACGGCAAACCAAGCAAGTCGAACAATCTTAACAAAACTAAACAAAATCTTTCACACCTAGCTTTTCGTGACCACAGTATGGCATGAACTTAAAACACTTGAAAAGAATCCTCTAAAAGCGCTGATATGGTTTTAGAATCTGTACAATAATATGAAGGGCCAGACCGCACGCTAGTTCCATCTGACCAATTGGTGCCAAGTGCACAACTTCAGGGTTCTCTACACGAGCCGTCAACCTCACTCTAAAGGCGACAAAACTAGACACAGTGTTTAAACTCCTGATGACCTACTACTTGAAAGACACCTTCATCCGGCTGAGTCTGTCTTCGATGAAGTGTCATGAGTATGATTCCGCTGCTATGCCAAACTTATGACAATCTATGACTAAGTTCAAATTCTGCCAAGAACAAAACCCCTCTCCTACCACATAATTTTTTGAAAAAAAGTTTCTCACAATATAAACAATTTAAACAAAAAACGCAGCACAGCTCATAAGTGCTGCCAGTCACCGGGTGCAATTAGCTGCACCAACGCCAATTGCAGCGTCGGAACTCACCACGAATCGACCTCAATGCTACACAGAACCCTACATATATTTATTCACAGGAGAACTTCAGCAACACCGTAAGAGCAGTCCCGGACCAAAGACTTTGACGGAATTCACTTCGCATAGAACGCGAATTACATTAGAAATCCACCCCTACGATTACAGCAGCCCCAGAGACGAAGAGAAACGCACATAATCCTTGAAGGCAGCGCCCACGCACATGCGTTTGATCACTGTATCGTTGAGCTCTAGCGCCACTCCCCGCTTCTCCTCCATCACCAGTGGACAACTTAGACAAATTCCACAAACAATGCACACACCTTCAATCGTTCATTTCCATCACATTGAACATACTCGACATAAAATCGCTGGAAGCAATTCGACGTCGGAGCTCGGGGCGTTGAGTGTGAATCAATAACCAGCAAATGGAACAACAAAACAAAAGGTGATCGCAAACCCCGGACCATGGCTTCGGAGCCTGGAAGCAAACCCTGGACCCTGACGGTCACCGGTATTCCTTCCTAGCGGAGATCGGTCTCCGTAATATCAGTTCACGGTGATACCTCCACCGTGGAAAGCGTTGGATCGGAGACTGGTGAGCACTTGTGACCGTGCTATTTGAACTTCTATAACTAAATAAATTGTTGAAATTGTATTAAATAAGAGATAATAAAGATATTGTATCACCACTGTAGAAAAACTTGGTGGGGGGGATAATAACATCAAGAAACATCGGTTGTGAAGTTACAAAATGTTGAATTACAAAGGGATTCTATATATATATATATATATATATGTATATCACTAAGAATATGATTATTGAACTTTTTTGTAACGCCACCTATGCATTTGAATGCGTCTTCCAACTAAAATATATATATATATATATATATATATATATATGTATATATTATTATTATTATTTAAACATCATGCAAACTTTCACTGAGTTAATATGCAACAAAAATAAATAAAAAATAAAAAGTAAACCCCATGTATCTCCAGTGCTGTTTTCAGCCATGCAAAGTAGCCATGCAAAGTAGAAAAGAAAAATCAATTCCCAAAATTTTAAAACAATATTACTTACTTTATAATATGTGTGTGAATATGTGTATGCATCCATTATACTTTTAGTATTTGTGATCCTTTTTTCTGCATTGAATTATACTTTTTTTTATTTGTGGTTCTTCAAAATAACTTAGCATCAGTGAGATCTTACTTATCTCAACCCATTAAAAAATAAAAAACAAAAACATGCATATACACACACACACACACACATGTACGTATGTAAATATATATATATATATATATATATATCTTCATCAATTCAAAACCAGTTTATTTTCTTCATGTGGACACAAGTATAATAATAATTGTTATTGTTATTATTTTGAAAAAAAGAAAATACACAATAACATTAGCATAATTTGAAATTCTGATAGTACTTTATTCAATAATATCATGTGATGATGCCATTTCATGTAAATTGTACAATGCTTTATACAACTTTTCCAATTAACATGTTAACGTGAAGCTTCTGATTTTTTTAAAGAATTTACATATCAAGATTTGAGTTGTATGAATACAATATAGTGTTTCACTACACAAATTAGAAATTTAATAAAGGCCAAGAAGTTCATTTTCACAAAATAAAGAATTCACATCCTTGAAATTACAAAATATGTGATTCAATTTTTGAAAAGTTTTTTTTTTAATATTCTTTTCTCCAATAATACTAAAAAGGTTTAGCTAATGGCTGCTGCAACTGTAGCATACTCTAATTTTTTGCGATGCAAAATATCCTCTAGTTTTCCTAACAACCTCTGCACATAGAATAGAAGAAAAAAAAAAAAACACTCCAATCAAAATTTCTTTCTTCATTACAAAATTTTAAAATATACAATCATAAATATAGTTTATCATGTGTAAAAACATAAGTTGTTGCGGTAATTTTTATAGTAAGTATTAGCATAAATTTTGTATAATTTTTTGAATCATGGAACCTTAAAACTTTCTCGTTCTATAAACACCACTTTGCAGTTGGATGTTGTCACCACTGATGCTGCTCGGGGCTCATTGTTCAAAAGTGCTAATTCACCAAAATAATCTCCACTTTTGTACTTCATTAGAACTTGGCCTTTTGTCTTAGCCTCAGCAGTTCCCTGTTAAACCCACAATGAAATTGATTTTGATATGTGTGCATGTGTGTGTGTATATATGAAGTTGGATAATTTAAGGCTTTTATTTGTTTTTACAGTTTCTGCATAAAATCAAAACTGATGGGTTGGATTTTTAGATTTGAAAAAATGCCAATGCTTGGAAAAATCACAAATAAACTTGTTTTTTTCTTTTTTGTGGTGATTTATTTGAAAAATAATCTCAATGAACACAAAAATTCAAAACAAGGGTTTTTCACTTCCATTTTTATTTTATTTTATTTATCACAATAGGAAATTCCTGAGCATGCCATGTGAATGATTGTTTTGAGTTTGGACAGCTTTATGTGAAATTACACAAGTAAAAGCACAAGTCTGATCAAACTTCAATTACCTCTTCCAAAAAGTAAAATTTGTCTCCAGGTGTATCCTCAACAATAATGGATTGTCCAGGATTATAATACTCAGGTTCCAAAACATCAGCAATTGCAGATCGTTCATATGCATCAAGAGTCTGTACTTACTTGTTAAACTATATATATATATATATATATATATATATCTCCACACACACATACAACATTTTTATTCAAGTAGAACATATGTATATATATATATATATATATAAACAAATGTATGTCCTACCAACCTTCAGCAATGGAACACTTGCAAGAAACTCTTCATACAAGTTTCTTTTTTGAGAAGTGGAAGTCATGAGGATTTGTTGGAATGTTCCACGATCCATGGCCCATAAGATACAATCTGTGGTTGCCTAATTCCATTCCCTCATTTTCTATGAATATGGGATACATGAGATGCCATCTAAAAGAACTTGTATTCCAAAAAGAAGCATGGAAAGAAAGAAGAGGGGAGGGGGAGATGAACAATAGAATGTGGGGTTTGTGTTTATTTATATTTATACACATACTTTGACAGTTGCAGCGCGGGGGGCATTGTAGAGGAGGGCAAGCTCCCCAAAGCTATCGCCTGCAGAGTAGCTGGCCACACACACTGGGTTTGCATTCTCGCTCTGCTTGATGTACACGTCACATGATCCACCCTGTCATTTCATTCATCCATCTCCCCGTTACTTCATCCGTTCACTACCACATTCATCCCCCGCCCTGGGTTCCCTTGGTTTTATTAATTAACTCCCTCTTTAACGCTCACCTGCAGATCTCAGCCAAACCATGTATGTTTTCATTTTTGCTCATGTGGAGGACACAATGCTTTTCCTCTCCCTGTGTACATGTGAGTAAGGTAGCCGACCCATTTTTCATAACTTAAGCATATCAGCATATATGCAATAAGTGTAAAAATGAAAGAAATTTTTTTCAACGCAGGGAAAAATATCCCATTCTATTGGTTGGAATGGAGGGGGGTGGTCGAGAATGCATCAGCTATCTTACACAGAAACCCACCTAAAACCATTGCATTTAGGGTTTGGAATTTGACATACTTCAATGAAGTAGAAGGTGTCACCCAATTGGCTTTGCTGGATGATGATGTCTTGAGCCTTGTGTTTCTCTTCTTCAACTGCATCAATAACCTGGCAGAGTTCCATTTTATAGTGTTGGTATTGGTAGCTGTGTTGTTCAGTGGTAATGCATATATTAGGCCAGTAAACAGAATGCATGAGCTACATGCAAAAACTAAAAATATGATAGTGGTGATTTGGCGAACCGTCTTTATTTGTTTTTTATCACAGCCTTTGAAAATGTAGCTTTTCTCTAAAGCTCTTTGAATGCGTTTTTTTGCATCATTGGATTTTTTAACCACCTAAAAACAGAACCAATATTTATAGATATATTATCAAAAATGTTTCACTATTGTATTATTCAAAATAATTTGAGTGCAGGCTGTCATTGGGAGTATGCACTTGACAACAAAAAATATGAATTATATTTATTTATGTATTCATGAATATATATATATATATATATATATTGACATGGAATATTTAATCACCTTTGGTACATAACTTGAATCCAAAACTACTGGTTCTGCACTAACTCCAGTTCTTCGAAATGATAATGTTCGTCTGCGCTTGTCTTTTACCTGGAATAATCATCAGAATTTCAATATTTTTTGGTTTTCATCTGATTTTAGGTTTTTTTAATTATACACACACACACACACACACACACACATATATATATATATATATATATACTCATTTTATGAAAAAAATAAAAAAAAATAAAAAAATAAATCTCATAGTCAAATCATGATTTAATGAGGTATTCAAATTCTTGAAATTGAAACATTGAAAAGTAAATTTTCTACCATCTCATAATAAGCAAAACAAAAGTCATGAATTAATGGATATAATGCAATAATCTTGGTTTGATTTATGGTGTATTAAAAAATATTACAGTCAATTTTTTTTAACACTAATGAAAAGATTTGGTTTATTTACAAATATTTAGAGTCAGTGTATTTATAGTTATAACTCTTTAAATCATGATTTGAAAATACTCCCTGTAATAAAAATGTCAACTGGCAGAATTCACGAAAACAATGACAATAGAAAAATGCGCATGGGTTTTTTAAAAAGGTCACATGAATTTGAATTTGCCTTATATCATTCACACTATTCTAGTTTTTATGCAAAAGAATTTGATCTGATTTTATGAAATTGAGTCATTACAATGGTAGATAGTTATTGGTTAAATTTCATGAACTTAAATCAAATTTCAGAATTTAATTTTAATTTTTGATATTTTAAAATTATAGTTTTGCAGCTCAAACATAATCAATTTTGTAAAATTTCATCTTACCCGTGTCATTGAATTGTACTTAAAAATGATTATACTCTCATTAATATATCAATTAATATTCAACTAAACTATATATATATATATATATATATATATATACAAAATAAACTACACTTTTTATGTGCAACTTAAACATGCACAACTGAAAATAGAAATGAGAATAAATCCAAAAAATCAAAATAACATTTTTTTACCTTTCCTAATGTGGCACCCATTTTTTGTTTTGTTTTTTAAATCAATGTCTTTGACTTTGTTAAATGTAAAATCATTGTGACAATTGTTATTTAGTGAATGTTAATCAAGTTTGAATCATTGATTTAATGTCAGAATATTTTAGGTTTAAAAGTTTTAAGATTATCATTGTGCAAATAACACCATCCACCAAATACACATATGGATGATATGTTACATTCTACAATTGTACGTCAAAATGAATCCTTGCAACACATTGGACTAATGTAATGTTCAAATTATGCATGTTCATGATGTTATTAATACAATTGTGATTGCTTCATATTTGTATTTATTGTCTGTTTCACTAACAAATAAAAAACGCCTCTACAAGACACTAATGACAATTCAATTTAGCTAACAACATTGTTCAAAAATTTAAAACACTTTCAGATTTTATCAACATAATATATAAAAAATTCATGGTCTAGGGACATAATTTCCTTCTTTCTTCTCATTCCTGAAATTCCATCAATTCTATTTATAAAAAGAAATATTAATCCAGAACGCCCCTCTAATGAAATTCACTAACATTTAAGTCAATATTACACGTGACTCAAAACAAGTACTACTTTGAATTGAGTTTACTTAGATTCGGTTTAAGTGATCATAATATATTTACATAAATATTGAAGAAAATAGTGTGGGCACATAGAGAAAGGAAATAAGGGGTGTTACTTCTTGGCGGGGAATATTGGTTGGGCGCCCTTTCCTGGCGTTCAAATCGGCCGCGGAGGGGCGGCTCTCGGAGGTGTACACCGCCATGGCGGCAAATGGCGACGGCGATCTGCTTCGGCACCTCGTCTCGTCGGGAAAGCGGGCCCCACTCCACGCTTCTGCAGCAGTACACACCCTCCCCTCGGGAAGCTTCTGGAATGGCACAGACTCTCCCATTAACCCGAACCGTATCGATAACCGGGGCATCGAGAGTCCAGGTTACGATTTTGCAGGGTACGGTTCTCGCAGACGGTTCTCAACAAAGGTATCTGTCACAGTGAAGCCTTCGAACTCAATTTGGACTTCAACATCACAAGCTGATGCTTCTGTGCGCAAGTTCTGCTTGTTTTCATGAAACCTCGTTGTACCGAAGCACAATAGCTAGCTCAATGGTAGTCTGGTTGGGCACAGGCTGTTTCGGGCTACGAGACCTTTCCAACTTTCTACTTTAAACTTTCTCCTGAATTCGGGCATTGACGTCGATAACTGTGAAGGTGGGCCTGGCTTAAAAGTGTGTGGGGAGATTGTGAAAGCAATTCGCATCAATTTCGACAATGTGGGGACGTTCCATGAGCTTTTGTGACTTTGTATTGCGAGTGTGCCTGTAATTCATGTGTGTGTTTTCAGGATCCGCACATTTGATTATATGGCTATCCTGAGATTGAGTTCATCATGGATAGGCGGTTTGGTATTTCCTTTGAACTAGTTTTGGAATTCTTTTCGTAAGATACTCATTGTAAGACTATGTGCTGGGATGGTAGTCTTAGTTTGATCATATTAATCTTTTCAATATTACTTATCAGTTCACCTCTTGCTTCTCACGCTTGCAGCTCCCTGCTTTCAACTTCATTCCATTTGTGCGACCTGCTTACAATGCCATCTTCAGGAGGTTGACTGCTCAAGATCAAGACCAGGTTTGTAGATTTGGAGAACGATTATTGCGACTGTTTATACATGTGAAATTTGGCATGTCAGTTCATGTTTGTGTGTTGCATGTCTGCTAACTTGCGCCTGCAGCAGCTGGGAAAAGTGGGTTCTTTTCGTAGTGGTTATTCTCTTTCCAACGAGCAATTGTGAATCAAAACTTATGTAGTGGATGGAATTACAGGAAGTAACGGAATGTGCAATATCTTGTTTGGGGCTTGTTATTCCCATGCTTGGAGATCATCTCAAGAGCGTACTTGACACGTGATTGCCACTGTTAATGGAGCGTTTACGCATTGAGATAACAAGACTCAAAACTGTGAAGGTAGAAGCTTTACGAGCACTTCAGAATTGATTGTTTTCGTTCGATCATAGTGTGCTGATTTGCGGATATAAACCTTTAGATGATGCTTGGGGTGACACAAACAATAGTGCTTTGGACCGTTTTCTAAAACAATTGATTTCGAATGCAGGCGTTTGCAACTATTGCAGAGTCTCCTTTGAATGTAGACTTATGCTCAGTTTTAGAACAAGTCGTTGCAGAGCTGACAACGTTCTTGCGCAAGGTATGTATTGTGTAGAAATTCCTTCAGCCCTTATGAGTTTCTTTGACGCTGTATTACGTAAGCTAGTCACGTTGTTTTGTAAAGGAAGTTTCAATCTATTTGTACCAGTTTGGACCTTGCTTGCTGTTTTTATAGGCCAACCGAACCCTGCAACTCGCCTCATTGGGCACATCGAATTCGCTACTTACTGCTTACAGCAATTAAATTAGCTCAGCCAGCTACGAATCTACTCTCACAGAGTTATCTTCTCTCATTAGGTGGGTGCCCTGTCTCAGTTGCTTGCAAGTTTTGTTCCAAAAGAAGTTGATATTTGTAGTAGTGAAAAATTAACACTTTCATGGTCGACGTGGAATGAAAGTGAGCAGACTTTATTGTTGGGAACTATATTTGAATGAAGGTTTCTATAAGGTTGAATCATTTGCTCGAATTGGTGAATGTGCTTTCATGTATATCATAACCCTAAAGTGCTGAGAGTGTGCTTGTTGTTATCCCTGGTTTTGGCAGTGATGCAGACTTGTACATTACAGTGTTAACACTGGAGTTATGTTGCACCATGATTGTTGATAAAAACACCAGTTAAACGCTGGCGTTGCTATTTGGGAACGTGTCTTGCCTCGAGCACTTATCCTTGTAAAAAGTTCGTTACTACAGGGTCAAGCGTTGCAGGTAACTCTTTTGAACATTTAACGTGCTTGAGGTGGAGGTTGGGGGTGGGCAGTTGAGCCATAGTGTTTGCGGGGAATGCTCGGAACTGGATTATATGGCCGCTAGGAATCTTTTCTCTACGTGGACGGTGATATGATCAAGCACGGTTCAGGGGCATTACCTGCTCCCTCCGCATGAAGTTTAATGTATGAAATTGTGCTGCATGAGTCCTCCGTTTTGATGATCTCACCAGCTTCAACCAAAGCAGCTTTATCATCTAGGACTGTGTTGCTTGCCATTGAAAGCAACTCACAAAACTCTCATGAAAGAATCAAACTTGATGCTTGGAGCAACTGCAAAACAAACCACAATGTAACACAAGTCTCCAAAAGCTCAGAGACAATACAACAATATCAAAAATTAAATATTGCTCTTCACTTGAACATCTAATACAAGGTTTCTTTTTTGGACTGAGAGTCTCTCAACGATATAAAAAGTAAAGATCTTACATGGATTATATTTGGAATCAATGAATTGTTGTATTAAATATGGCAATTTACAATTGGATTGGACATGCAAAAGTAGAATTCAAGTGGACTAAATATAACAATTTGGAGTGGCATTAAGCATAAAACAATAAAGTAGAATTGGAATAAATATAATAATTTAGATTGAGACATTCAACATAGAAAGTAGAGTGGAAGTGAAACAAAATAAATATTATAAAATATAAGGAGTATAAAAAGAGACAAAGTCATTAATAATTGTTTATATTCACTTTTCTTTAATATTGCTTATTGTCATTTGTAGCTCTTGGCTTAGGTGTGTAGGTGCTTATGTAGTAGCAATATGTTGGTACCTAAAACATGTGTATTGCTTGTTATTATATAATATAAAGTAAAGATCTTATAATTGTGGTTTTTGATCAAAACAAAGTAATTAGTAATATTTTTGTATATTCTTCAATTTGTACTTTAGTCTCTCAATTTCCTATTTATTTGTTAGGTTTGATGGTTTCTCCACAATATACTTCTTGCTCTGATGGTGGCCTTGAGAAGCAATTGTTGTATCATTGCAGCAAGTACTATGCACTTTAATCTATATTTTAACTTGAGATCTATAAGTTCTAATCATATTGTGAGCCAAAGGTGAAAGGGTTTGAAGGAGCTAAGTATAAGGCTTTTAAGACTAGGTTAGAGGTAGAAGAATATGTATCAAATTAGTTGAGGTGGTTCTGTTATTGTCTAGTTATTTTGTATGCTAACTATATTCAATTGTTTCATGATTTTTTTAAATAAAGAGTAATGAAGTGATTTTGTGAAAATGTTTGCTACATGTTCTAGAATTGGTATGTATTGGAGGTTAATTTCTCCTAATTGAATCTTTTTTTAATAAATAATAATATGTTGCTATGTGTTTATTTTTAAATTTATAATTATTCTAATACTTCTAGTATTATCACAATATATAACTACTGATTGTTCTATGTCAATTTATAAGTCTTTGAATAATATGATAAGTCATGAGGCTTCTTTAGATGTATTAGCTGATGCTATGTTATAAACTTCCAAAGAATACAATGCTATAATGGATTGTTTCTTGGATGACCATGAAATAGATGTAGTTTCAATACTAAATATGAATTTAGTGGCAGATTGAATTCATTATGTATCTTCCACCTAATTAAATTCTACATATCTCAAAAAGTTAATTTGATTGTTGTTTTGATATAGGATCTCATAGTCTTTAATGCTCTCGATGTAATATAATATTCTTCTTGGAGCAAGTAAAGAAGATTGCAAGGATCTTGCCATAAATTGGTTGACAATACTTATAGCAAATTGGATGTTGGAACAAATATGGATTAAGTGGAGACATTTTTCTACAATACTATAATATTGTATTGGATCTACTTCTTCCAATATGTTAACTCTGAGCTTCTTTTTCTCATCCATTAGAATTATTGTTAATGCACAATTTTTCATTCTAAAAGTTATAAGAATATTATGTATATATGCCTTTTGCATTATGAATATTTTTTCTTTTATTTGTATGCATTTGGTTTTTACATACGATGCAATTTTACCTTCTAATAATTTCGATATTTTAAATTTATCATATAATTTTTCTTTGAATTTGATCATAATTTTTATTCAATTACCTATTATAAAGAAATTATCTACATATAAAATAATGAAAATAATTTTACCATATGGTAATCTTGAATGTAGATTGTAATCACCTAAGCCTCATTGGAAGCCTACTTTTTAAAAATATGAGTCTATTTTTTTACATACTATGTACAAGATGCTTATTTTAAGTTATATAATATTTTTTATAATTTACAAATCATATGTTCTTTTTTAAATATTTTGAAGTTTTGAAGTTGAATAACATAAACTTCTTTCAAATCTTTATGAAAGAAGGTAAATTTGACATCTATATAATATAGTTTCCAATTTTTTTAAGTTACAATTTAAATCATAGCTCTAATTATTGCTTATTTAATAATAAGTGCAATTTTTTTTATTATAATCAATTTCTTCTCTTTATTCAAAATTACTAGCTAATAATCTAATTTTATATTTTTGTAGAGATCCATTAATATTTAATTTGAATATCTAAATTTATTTTATTGAGATAATTGATTTAATTGGAGTAAAATGCATGAGTAGACATGTCTTATTTTTATATATAGATTTCATTTCATTTTTTATGACTTGCATCCACATTTGGTGAGTTTTCATGATGGTGTAAATATATGCAATATGCTTTGGTCTATTCATCATAGCCTACAAAACTATCCACTGTATATCTTGGTTGAAGTTTATTTTTGGATTAGAATCCAATATGTATATGTAATAAATAACCAAAGATTTTGAAATGATTGAATTGTGGTTTGATACATAAAAAAGCTTCTTTAGATAATTTATTGAGGTTCTTAATTCAAGTATGTGGTCTGTTTAATAAATATACTATCATTTTTATTACTTTATATTATAAATAATTTGATAATTTTTTAAAATAATAGTATGCATCAAATTTTATTTTTTATTTTTTTTCTTTCCACCATTTTTTTTTTTATTTTTTTTTTTTTATTTTATTTGGATGTGTATTTCAAAAACTCTTATAAAATAAATTCTCCTCTATTATCTATTTTTAGCCAATTGATCAATTTTCTAATTTATTTTTCTATCATAACTCTAAATTCTATGAACTTGTTAAGAGTTTGTTTCTTATTTTTGAGAAAATAGATTCATATATTTCTGGTGTAATCATTAACAAAAAGATCTAGTATCTAATAGTGATATGACAAGTAATGGACCACATGGATTTGTGTAATTTAATTCTAATATCTCTTCTAATCTGGTAGTACTATCCTTGGATATTTGTTTGTAAGTTTGTTTTTCTTCTGGATAATATTGATATAATATGTATTTTGCTTTGAATGTTGGTACATCCTCAAATTGCAACATCATCAATGTAGGAAGTCTGACATGGCTAAGAAAGCAATGCCACAAAAAAGAGAGTAAATCCAGTTGACTTATGGATATGTTTGTTTGCAGTATCATATGATGGTATTGCTTAGATAGGTTGTTAGAATTTGTTGATATTGTTATTAGATTCTATTTTTATTGATAAATAGATTTGATTAATGGCAATAGTCAATTGGAGTACTATTTAATACTTCTTATATTCAAAACTATATTTTTTGATCTTATAAAAAATAAATATTTTCAAACTAATATTTTACATTTAAGATTTAATTTTGTATAATTATTTTTTTTTCTTTCCAATAGTCTATCATAATTAATTATAATGAATTTGAGCTGATTAATGCTATGCATTTGCATCTCTAAAAAAATTAGCAAATAGTTGTTTTGAACATATTGCCCTCTTAATAATGAATTTAGTTTGAAGCCCAGTACATAGAATTTTTTTATAAGATTTTTTATTTTCTTGTTTAAAACATGTATATTTACATCACCTTGATCTTTTATTTCATATTTATTTTGTCTGCTATGGCTACAACATATTAATGGGATGGTTTCTTAAATGTCAAGAACACTTCTTGATCTCTAGAAAAGTGCTTTGAAGCACCACTATCTATAATCCAATCCTTATCAAGAGAAGATGCTACAAAAATACTTGCAATGTAATTTGTATTTCATGTTAAGTAAGAAAGTACTCACCAAAAACTCCTTTCATGTAGTTTGCTCTAAGTTGGTAGTGACTTGTGTATAATGGTTCTTGTGCATGGTAGTAGCTTGTAATATGTTTCAATTTGCCACATTGATAATATGTATGCTCCTCATGCTATTCTTGTTGTTCACTAAGAACTTTGTATATTGGTCAATTTTGTAGTGCTATTCTTCAAAACTGTGTAGTAGAGTTTAATTCTCTATGTCTAAAAATTGACCACTATTTGTTCCAATTAATATTTTTGATTTTGAACACAAGTGCCTCTTCATTTGAATCAGCTTACAAATTTATTTCTATTTCTTCCATGTGTAATCAACTTACTAAGTTTGGAAGAGTCAAAGTTATTATTTCTGTTTGCAGCATTCTAACAAAAGTTTTGAACTTCATGGGAAGGTTTTTAAGAACCTTGTAAACTACTATGATGTTAGAAGATAGTTTGTTTATTTCCTTCAAATTATTCAAAAGATTGTATACATATTGTATGAAGGCCGAGACTGTCATATCATTTGACATTTTGAGATTTTTCCACTTATCTAGTGTTTTTATGACATCAGCAATAATTTGCATCAAGTATACATTTACAAGTGTTTTTTATGCAATAACATGATTAATAGTATTTAGAATATACTACTTTATTATTTTTGTCAAAGACAGCTTGAGGAAGTCCATCGTTCTTGTTTTTTTTGTCTGCAAAGAAATTCACGTTCCTGGAGCATCAACAGTGTAGTGTCTGAACTGAGACTGTCAATGCCTTCGAGTATTCTTTTTCTAGTTCCCTTTGTTTCCTGTCTCATCATTGTTGTGCTAGATGTTGTTTCATTTTTGGATGTTGTTGCTTCATTGTTGATGTGTGTTGTCTCTATGGTGAATCATTTATTGGAGCAACTACCTTCAAGAAGTCCTTTCTTTCCATCATGCTCTGAATCATACTTCAGGTTTTATAATTTTCAGGTTTAAACAACATTTTTGAAATACAAGGTTGCACATGATGGTTTTATTAATTATCATAAATTGAATCAATAAAGCTGAATATATTTTCAGTAACTAGCAGTAGTAGAAGTACCATTGCTGAAGGGACAACGTATACTTTTGAATATCATAAATTTCTATAATTCTGAACATGAAATTAATTCATCATCGCAGTTATCTTTGCTCAAGAGTGTATGCATATTTTTTATATTAATAAGATCCAAATGCGAGCTGTAGTTGAGAGTGTTATGAATGT